AATCCTCCCACCTGGTAACATCCTGGGATGAGCTACTGGGAATCCACCCCTCCAGGTCTCAGCCCACAAGGTCTGGGTGGGGCTCCACTCCAGGCCTGACCAATCAGAGCCCTTTATCCACATGGTCACGAGGACATGGTTCACAGATGGGCACATGACAAACTGGTCCAATCAGAGCAAATCTCAACACCTCTGCAGGAGTGAGTGGAAAGGCTTCATTCTTTCCCTCTAGACTTGATGCTGAGAGGACTTCACCCTCAGGGAAGCCATCTTGCCTCCTCTTGAAGCCTGAGATTGAAGCCACACAGCAGACGGCAGAGCTGAGACCCTGATTGAAAGCAAGTCTAAAGAACTCACCTGAGTCCCAAAACCGTGCCCCTGAAGGCAGTCCCAGATTGGCCTAGGGTCCCAACAAACCGCAGGTTTGGGTTTGTTGTTCTGTCACTTGCAACCAAGAGTCCTAACTGATGGACAGATCTAGCCCTCCCAAATTCTGCTTCACCAGTGAGTGCTGATGGTTCCAGCTCTAAGGAAGAGCGCAAACAGGGCAGGGCTCTTCAAGGTTCTCTTGCCACGTATATCAACCTGCCAGTCTGACTAGTCACACTTCAGCACAACAAACAGAGGGGAGCCACATATCATGGGGACAGAGACCTTCAAGGGCTACCACAGAGGACATACCACCGAAGACTAATGGGCAGACTCCACTGGCAGGCTTTCCCAAACTATATAAAGTGCTAATCAAATATTGTAAAATGCTAGTCGTGTAACAGATGGTTACCATCTGCAGTCTTTAAAATTAACACTTGGAAAGAACACAACTTTGTTACATTACTTAAAAACCCAAGCAATACTTAGAAACCAACCCAGCAAGTATGGGCGGGAGATTATTTTCAGCTCAATTATAATACTTAGTCATTCTCAGTAATAACTAGAAGAGAATGTCTGTGTGGGTCCACTCAGACGAGTTAAACTAAAAATGTTTTAATTTAATTTAAAGCATGGGTTTGCTATTAAGGCACAATGAACCTCACAGCATCATTGCTAAATCTGTAGTCAAACCCTGTAGCCCTGGGAACCCTTGCTTCGCATATTCTGCTCTTTGGATTTGACCTTAGCCTCCCCACCTGAGCTCCCTGCCTCTGTAAAGACACCTCTGTCTTCCCAAGCAACCAAACCAAAGCCATCACAGAGACAACCTGCCTTCTCCTCAATCCCCATGCCACTAGTCTCTAAGTCCTATCAAATTCTACCCCTGGACGCCCCTCAAATCTGTCCCCTCCTCTCTACTTCCACTGCACACCCTAGGTTCGGACTCTTATCACAACTCAGGCAGACACCTGCAAGAGTTCCCAGCAATCTATTGTCTGACAATCTAGTCTCCACTCAACAGCCAGAGTGAATATTTCCAAAACATAGATCTCAGCATGTCACGTTCCTGCCTAAAACCCCTGATGTCCATCCCATCCCTATCACTCATGACAACTTTTCCCAAAATATGGGACAAAGATGAAAATATTTTAAGCAGTATATGGAACATCCTTTTATTGTCATGCTTTTATATTTATTTTCATGTGTAATGCAAAAATAATTCCATAATCTCATAGGTATTATGGCTTACAACAGTTTAAAAAATGAACGGGCAGAAAGGTGATTTTTAAAAATGTATCAAGCAAGTAAGAATGCAGCTGAAATCTGGATATGCCAAGAATCATGAAAGTGGTATTGAACTTTGGAAAAGCACTGGTCTACAGTATAAAATCCATACTGCTTTCTATGGCCTCCAAGACCCCCTCTTGCTCTGGCCCCTGCCCACCACCCCGCATCACATCACCCAACACTGGCTACTGAGTCCAGGCAAACTTAACTCTGATGGCACACGACAGCCTGTGTCATGTTTACCTGCTATAGTCTCAGCACCGCGACAGAATGCTTGGCATATAACAGATGTATTAAGGTTCTCCAGAGAGGTAGAACCAATCAGATACATATACAGAGAGAGAGAGAAAGAAAGAGATTATAAGACATTGGCTCACATGACTATTGAGGCTGGAAAGTTCACAATCCGCAGAGCTCATATATCCCAGTTTGAGTCAGAAGGCCAGAAGCTGCTGCAGAACCAGGAAGAGCCAGTGTCCCAGCACGAAGGCTGTGTCAGGCAGGAGAATTCTCTCTCGGTAGGGAAA